TATATATATATTAAGATATAATTAAGATGCATAGTGTGGACGGGACCTAAATTAGATAGGGACACTATTTTATAAACATGCTTATCTGAACCATGACAAAGGTAGACCTTTTTACCTTGGGAGTAATGTTTTCCTATTTTAGACCACGTGTCATTCCCTAGAGTATCATTTCTTTGTTTGACAGTTACAAATCAGAAGACACGTAAATATGGATACGACTCAAATAATAATAATTCGCAAAAGAATGACAGAGTCTGCAAATGGGAAAACAAGTACTGATATTTTAAGACCCTGGGTGTTGGTCCAGCCACAGCTGGTGCTCAACCAACTGAGACATTCAGGAGACAGGATAGAAAACATAGCATCGTAACCACGGCCAGAAATGAAAAATATGTAGCATTTCCAAGAATGGCAATATTAAAAAATCAAAAGTATGTATCATTTGTCAGTGATAATCTTGCAGGTTGCTATCTCTTACCAATTAAAGTGAAATACTTAGTTTTTTATAACACATGCAGTGCAGGGGCAGATCCAGGAAGTTTAGAAAGGGAGGTGATTATTACAAGGATTTTATCAGGAATTTGAAGAAAAGGGGGGTGACTGTTACTAACGATATACTGAGAAATTTGAGCAAAAGGGGGGTGACTAGTCACCTATATTACCACCCCTGGATCTGCCCCTGGCAATGTTGACTTAAATCTTGATAGTTTTCTGACTTACCTTTGTGCAGGAAATGCCTTTATCAAACAAATTGATGACCACACGTTCAAAGCTTTCTAGGTCAGTATTGTAGGTCACTTTACCCTTTTCCATGGTAAGGTCAAGCAAAAATAAGGCATTCTTCTTGGGCCTAATAACATAAAACAAAACAAATAAGATTTAAACAGTGAGAGATAAAGAAACACTGCATGCTCCTTATATGTCACGCTTTCTCTCAATGCAGCTGTAATTATATGTTCCATGCTTCAGGAAGCAAAAAAATTCAAATCTTTAAAAGTTATTAAACCATGAAACAAACTCTGGGCCGATCTAAGCCAGTATAACTAGACATCATCATGACCATCAACATGCTCGAGGTATCGCGATTAATTAAATGAAATTATCACATGGTTTTTCCAGGGGTTTCATTAAGTTTTAAAAAGATAATAATAATAATAATAATTATCATTTATTCCAACAGTTTGCAGCCAGGCTGAATTACAGTGTGGGTCAGCAGAACAACATTAAATATTTATTATACAGCTATTTCAAAAAGGTTGAATACTGAATACCGCATACTGAATAGTGCATTCCAAGACCAACAAGACAAAAAGACCCCCTTGCCCCCTTGCCCCCTTGCCCTCTGCCTAGAATATATCACAGTTTTTAATAACTTACTTGAGTGGACTACTATTGATGTCTGTGGTCCATTCCATATCATCTGGTAGGTCTCTCACCATGTAGCAGGCATCAAGGATCATATTAGTGAAGGCAGCCAGTGAGTCCTGCACCAGATACCTCAATGAATCCTAATGGACAGACAGACAATACATGATGCACTAACAATGACTAGTGGTTACTAGTTGGGACTGTGTTGGTGTGTTGAATACAACAAGTGAATAAAAATGACTAGTGGTTACTAGTTGGGACTGTGTTGGTGTGTTGAATACAACAAGTGAATAAGAATGACTAGTGGTTACTAGTTGGGACTGTGTTGGTGT